ATAAGCACAAAAAATGGAAATCATCTAAAAAAAAAAAAAGCTTAAATGAGCAAAAAACAGCCGAAAAGTAGCTAAAAGACAGGAAGAAGCTTAAATCTCAAGGAAATGGAGAGAGCAAATTTTTGATGAATTAGGCTGAAAAAAGTTGAAACGAGTGCAAAAAATGTGGAATTAGCTGAAAAAGCTTAAATTAGCATGAATGTTGCTAAATAGTAGCTTAAATAGTAGAAAAGCTGAAACTTGCTGAAATAAACTGAAATAATCTGAAACACAACTCAGCATTGTTATAAATGAAACATGACTAAGCGTTTTTGTTATTGAAGTGTGACTCAGCATTATTACTGAAGGGTTGTTATCATTGACAGATGGTTCGTTGTGTATCTGTTCCTACCAAACCAGCCGGTCGAAGCAGATGGTCCTCTTGTCCTGATCCTGGTTCTGCTAAAGGTTTCTTCCTCATGAGGGAGTTTTTTCTTTCCACTGTCGCCTTCATGCTTGTTCAAGATGAGAGTTCAGTGATGGAGTTCAACTCAAAGCTGCTCCTCAGATAAATAATGTTCAACTATTATTTTATAGATGAATGTTTCTGTTCAGTCCCTGAGACGACTTCTGTTGTGACTTGGAGCTAAAGAAATAAATGAACTGAATTGATTCAGTGTTGTTCTTGAAGCATGACTCAGCATTATTATTGAAGTCTGAGTAATCAGGTGGACTTTCAAAACAAATAGTTCACTTTTTCACATGAACAAAATGTGAAATAATAATTCACAGCAAGAGGTTCCTACCTGGTTCTGTTGACCTGGTTCTGTGGACCTGGTTCTGTGGACCTGATTCTGTGGACCTGATTCTGTGGACCTGGTTCTGTTGACCTGGTTCTGTGGACCTGGTTCTGTGGACCTGGTTCTGTGGACCTGGTTCTGTTGACCTGGTTCTGTGGACCTTTTTCTGGAGGATGATGTTGGTCCAGGTGAGTCCAGTCCACCTTCATTCCCTCAGGTGTCCTCATCAAACGATCTCCATGGAAACAAACTCTGCTTCCTCCAATCTGTTCTTTAGAGTCTCTTCATTTCACCAGTTTGGACTAAAACTGCTTTGGTTCTGCTGGGTCAGAACTTTGGGCTTCTTTCTCCTGTTCTCATCAAAGATGAGCCTGTTGTTGTTAGGTTGTTGTTGTTAGCTTGTTGTTATTAACTTGTTGTTATTAGCTTGTTTGCTTAGCTTGTTGTTGTTAGCTTGTTGACGTTAGCTTAGCTTGTTGTTGTTAGCTTGTTGCATTGTTAGCTTGTTGTTGTTAGCTTAGCTTGTTGTTGTTAGCTTGTTGTTGTTAGCTTGTTGTTGTTAGCTTGTTGATGTTAGCTGAGCTTGCTGTTGGTAGTTTGTTGTTGTAAGCTTGTTGTTGTTAGCTTAGCTTGTTGTTGTTGGTAGCTTGTTGATGTTAGCATAGCTTGTTGTTGTTAGCTTGTTGCATTGTTAGCTTGTTGTTGTTAG